TTTCTAAACCCTTACAAACCTAGTTGGAATCTTATACAATGTTTTAAAGTGCAGTGACAAATCCTTCTCTGGAGACAGACTTTTATTAGTTTGGGGGGGGGGGAGAGAAAAGTGTAAACTTGCTTTTAAGTCACTAAAACCTAATGGTCAAAGTAGAAACAAACCTAAGGTTTTTTAGCATTTTCATGATCAGAGCTTTTACATACATAGACTGCTCAATGCAAAAAAGATATATGAAGACCTCAAGTAATTCACATTAACACTACATATAAAGTGTTTATAATTAAAATGTATTAAAATCTAAGTATTATGGTTATACTGAGCTGGGGGAGCAGTTTTGTGGCTTTTGCTACTTTACTCAGGGCTTGTACTCTATCACTTGAGCCACAGCTCCATGTCCAGCTTTTTTCTAGGTAAGCTGGAGATAAGAATCTCTCGGTGGTTGGGCGCTGGTGGCTCACACCTCTAATCCTAGCTACACAGGAGGCTGAGCTCTGAGGATCGCAGTTCAAAGCCAGCCCAGGCAGAAAAGTCCGTGAGACTTATCTCCAATAAACCACAAGAAAACTGGAAGTGGCTCAAGCGGTAGAGCACTTGCCTTGAGTTGAAGAGCACAAAGACAGCACCCTAGCCCAGAGTTCAAGCCTCATGACTGACAAAAAAAAAAAAAATCTCTTGGATTTCTGTCAAGACTGGCTCTGAACCTGAGCAGCTAGTACAGGTGTGAGTACTGGTGTTTGGCTTAGAATTGGATGTTGATATCCTATTGTAAGTACTGCTTGTGGATTTCTGAACAATGACTGTTAAAGCTTTGGGTTTTCTTAAATGAATATTCATATGCTTTTTCTTTTCAAAAAGACTAAACTAGAAATTTCAATGTGTTATTTCTCAATGATAAAATTCATTTTTCTTGTAGTAAGCAATACATATATTTGCTGCTTTTTAGGAAAGGGATTCCTTGCCATGTATTAATACTTACGTTTTTTAAAGGTCTTCATGGAGGGAAGGTCATGTGTTTCAACTGAAGCTATATGCTTTTTTTTTTGCCAATCGTGGGGTCTGAACTCTGGGCCTGGGCGCTGTCCTTCAGCTCTTCAGCTCAAGGCTAGTGCTCTACCACCTGAGCCACAGTGCCACTTCCAGCTTTTTCTGCTTATGTGGCACTAAGGAATCAAATCCAGGGCCTCATGCATTCAAGACAAGCACTCTACCACTGAGCCACATTCCCAGCACCTATATGCTTTTTTAAAAAGGAATTTGCCTTATACTTCCAATAATTGAAGCTTTCATTCTTTATCTGCCTATTTCAGCATTATACTGCTATTATTTGGTGTGAAACTAAAACTTTGGTTCTGTCACTCTGTGCCTAGTTGTGGGGAAACCTCTAACCCCTGAACATGGTTAAGCACTAGAAAATATCTGCCTTACACAGCTGCATCAGGAAACTAACATAAAAGTACATGAGGTGCCTAGCACAATGCTGAAAAGAACAGGAATACAAACAGGGTCCTCACTATATATTCTTTATGTGATTTCCAAAGTAAAATGGGTTAAAATGTCATACATATCTTAAAAAGATTTTGACTATAAAATCATTTGGTTAAGATTAGAAAGCACAAATACACAGACCAGAATAACTTGTTGAAAGATTATGGGTAAATTACCTGTGGAATCCAGCCCATAAAACAAGGGAGAACTGCTGACACGCTGGGAGAGTCATGCTGATTTTCAGAAAGCTGATTCCCATCAAAACTGCAGCCTTCCAATAATAAGCCACTGATCTGCCACAGAAAATATTGTTAATATATTCAGTGACTCTTGACTTCAAAATGGACATATCTGAAGATCAAAGGCCACATGTTCCATTGTGGCACCTTATTGGAGAATATAAAGAAAAGGTACAGACTAGTAACTCAGATTGAATTCTCATTTTAGCTAATATGTAAATGCCATTAACCATATACTCTCAGATGCCTTGGCAACAGAAATGAAATCTGGTGTAAAGTAAAACAGAGCTCCTTCTTTGATTTTTCTCCAAAGTCAATCTACTTTGTCACCTTTATTCTCAAGAAATATAGTTTAGAGGATACGTATGTTCTCTGGAAAAAATGGCAGGTTTAATTTTTAGTCACAATCATGCTGGAACAAGCCTTTCTAGAAATGCAGAACCCCTTCATTCAGAATATCTACACTTGAAATAAAAGAATGAGGAAGGGACAAGCAAAGAGCCCTAATTTCTTCGCTGTAATTCAACCAGGTGAAGGCGCTTTTTCCCTGGGATGGGAGGAATAAAGAGATGACCCTTCAGCAGATTCAAAAAACACTAGTGGGAAATAAGAATCCCTCTTTCACAAGCTATTTAAAATAGTTGGAAGAATTTAGATTAAATGAACAATAGCTAAAACTGTTTAGGTGAAGCAAAATTACTAAAATTACTTGGCTCCTTCCAACCAAAAGCCTTTTTTCTTTAAACCATCTGCATTTTTTCCATTCCAGATAGACAACTGAGGCCATCCTATTATTTCATTTGTAGATGAGAGGAAAACGTATTGGAGCATACTTTACAATTTTAGTGATGCTGTACTTTGACTAATTATCCACCACTAGTCAACAATAACCCATGCTGTTTGTACATGTGTACTTCATACTTCCTCCCTTAAATTTGGCACTAGTGTCTTACTGTAGAAGACACATTGTTTACTGAGGAGGTGGCATGGTATCTGTGTATATTTACCATTGAAGTTGAATGTAATAGGTGTCTCAATGTGTACCTTCTGTCATGTCATTTACTCTAATTATTTTTGCTTTGCTTGTATATGGCACAGCTTTCAGTATAACAGGACATCTTTATTTTTTCATTGGTAGGATTAATATCAGATTTTACATTATCAATTCTTATTTGTATTGTAATTCTTATAGGTCAATCTGTGTTGATCTCACAACAATAAGACAGAATTTCAGAATCTGTCTTCATTAGCTATACATTTTTAAACTAGATAACCATCTAAAGTTAGTACCTTAATTTGCAGCTTTGCTTCTTGAAGTCTACCTTTCCACGAGGCTACAAATTTAAGGCTATCCACAGAATGGCCCATTGCCCTGTAAAGTTGAGGAATCAAATGTTACAAAGAAGGCATTCTCTGCTCAATGGTATAGCAGGGATGAATGACCTCAACATGGCTCAGGAGACCTAGTTAATTCCACAAAACAACCCTCAGACACTAAAATGAGATAAGGAACTGCAGCTAGATATTCTTCTTTATTTTAAATCAAAGTGTGCAAATAATACCTAACTGCATATACAGGTTACTAGCTCTCTTAGCAGAGTGGCTTTTTACTTTCTCCATTTTGACACTAAGCCTCAAATGTAGGCACACTATAAATGTCCAATAAATGCTTATCAGATTAATCAAAATACTAATATTCCTTATATCCTTAGAAAGTATAAAATGAAATGTCCAAGTGACTATACAACTAAATTTTGTTCAGCTTATTTGTGGTAGCATCTCTTTCACTATGTGCTCACTGGTTTAAAAAAATGTTCTCTGAATACAAGCTAGTAATCCTATCCTGGTATAAAGAGGAATTTGATCTTGACCATGAGATCCTGTTCTTCACACTGTACAATAAACATTAGTACAAATATAAAAAAAGTTTTCATATATTCCAGAATCGTAGCTAGCCACCTGTGGATACTGAGCAAGCCAGTGTGATTGGGGAACTTGAATTTGAACTCAAAGCCTTGCAGAAAAGATTCTACCATGTGAGAGCATCACCCCTCATTTTTCAAATATGGTCTCACTTTTACCTGGGGCAAGTCTCAGTCTATGATCCTCCTACTAATACCTCTTGAGTAGCTCGAATTACAGTGTGAACAACACCACCCTGCTTTTTTGTTAAGATAAGGCTCTAATTTTTCTGCTATACTAATCTTTAAGAGTGACCAGAAGGATCACAGTTCAATTTAATTCCTGTAAGTTTAAATAGCTCCATGTGACCTCTGGTTACCATATTTCACAGTACAAATCTAGATAAATGACAATTTCAAAAGTCAAATTTCATTATTTCCAATCCTAATAAAATATTTTAATTAAAAGCAGTGTTTTTTAAACTAAAATTATCAGGGAATAACAACTGTCTGGATTCTAACAATAAACGTATTTCTAGAAACTCAAAGCAGCTCATTATTAATTACCTGGCAGTTTCCTGGCGAAGTGCATTAAGAAAAGTATCCGGATGGAAAAGCTCTGACAGATCAAGTGTATCAGAAAGAAGAGCCTGTTTTTCAGCTTTATCCACCCAGTTCTAGAGGAAGAAAGAGAAAATGAAAATTATAAATATACATGCACACATACCCTCCACATCACTGAAGATCTGTGATGCACAAGTCATTTGTGCTGAGAGTTTTGCACTTAAGTTTCCAAATGTGTCTGGGAAGCCTGACCAGCAACTTGCACTACATCCATCCATCTGTCCAAGTAAGCTTCCCTCTATATACTTCTACTAAAATTGTGCTCAACATAAGAGCCTGGGAAGTTAGCTTTCTGCATAGCCTTTCACTAGGACCTCCCAGTGTTGCTCCAGGCCTGCCTCAGTCCACAGGCTCATCAGCTTGCAAACAGTATCAGACATGAGAGTGACTTGCACCTTACAGAATCAAGGGTCAAAGGAGAGGGGAATACCCAAGAGGACAACATTCTCCTTCACAGGTGGCTAAGGCTTTTCCACTTACCTGAACTTACCTGTTGCACATCAACTTAGTTAATTTGGAAACTCAACATAAAGTTTGTTAAGTATTTTAAAAATTCTCACTTAGAACAAAAAATCCCAGCAAAACCTTATCCAAGATTGTTTCATCTACTAACTGATGTTAGGCTCACCACTGCTCTGCAGTTTAGCAGCCCCTGGTTACAAATAAGAAATGGAGCAAAGCAAGGATGAAGGTCTTGTCCAAGGTCACAAGCTCAGTCAGCCATGATTTGCTTTTCTATTTCCTACAGGTGTCAATGGGCATGTACACTGATGATTCTAGCAGGTGCACAGATGGGATTGGAATAATGTTAACTACTAAAAACTTAACAAAACTGCCATTTACTCGGTAAGTCATGTTACCTAATTTATAAATGTCCTAGAAGAATCTTACTGCTGCTCTGAAAATGGTGTGTTTTATGTACTCTAACAGCCTATTATCCACCTCAGCCATGATGAGAATGAGAAATTAAAACCTCCAATGCTACCCTACTTGCATTAATGTTGTAATACATTGACTAGTATTCAAATCCTATAGCACAAAGACTTTAAAAAGATACCTCCCAATCCAAGTATAATTCTTTCAGATATTATCCTTTACAATAATAAAAATATTCTCAACTAATTATACAAGGTAAAACTTTACTCCCTACTTTGAGTTAAACAATCAACAAGTTACTCATATCACCCTTTTTACCATAAAATATTTGTTATTCAAAAACCATTTAATACAACTTTTCAACTATATTATTTCATTAATGCCTGAAAGTTAATTTTGAATTCAAAGAATTCTAAATAAAACTAAGCTAGACGCTGATTGCTTATGCTTGTAATCCTAGCTCTTCAGGAGGCTTATAGCTGAGGATTTTAGTTCAAAGCCATTCCAGTCAGAAAAGTCCCTGTGAGACTCTATAAAAAACTGGAAGTGGAGCTGTGGCTCAAAGTAGTAGAGAACTAGCCTTGAGCAAAAGAGCTCAGGGACAGTGCCTAGGACCTGAGTTAAGCACACAACTGAAAAAAAAATAAAAAAGCTTATTAACAAATAAATGTATATTTGTTTAACCTAACTAAAGTCCTGTGGTAAGAATGTTATTGGACCAGATGGGGAAAAATAACTCCTAGTCTATTAAGCTTAAAAGTACAGAGTAGCACAAAGATACCGTTTGATAAGTTAAAGCTATATACTTCACACTGAAGAAAAAGAGTGCAGCAATGTTGTAGCTAGCATACTTAGCTGGCAATATTTTTCACCAAATGTCTCTAGTCATGGCCAAGGATTTGGTTTGAGATAGAATATAAGACTTAGTCTGATCTATGATTATGAGACTTTACAGTATACCTAAAATTCTTAAACAGCTGAAAGAATGGAGCAACTAGATGGCTGGACGGCTTCTTTTTAACTACTTCTGCACCTACCTGAGGCCATTCTCTTTTCATTCACTATGTCCCTTAGAAAAGGTGTTTATAGTCAATAATAACAGTCAATCATTCTTTTCAATGACATCTTTTATTCCCACATTTTTTCTTCTAATTTACTGTAAATTTAAAGCCAAGAGATCTGAGAATAAATTCATCCAGAACTAAAAAGTCTAATCTATTCAGAAAAAATAAGTGCCTCAGTCACTGCTTTTACTAGAAACAAAACTGGAAGTTTCTCAGATCACTAAATGAATAGATGTAATAAATTACAGCTCATCAGCAAGGTATTTTACCAAAATTGTCCTAGAGTTAAAGCCTCCAAATTAATCATTAAAAATAAGACATTTAAAATTGTTGGTATATTACTAGACACATCATTCTTGAATATAAATTGCTCCTGAGCCCAAACTTTGGTTTATCATCATTCAAATAAATCTTGTGCATTAGATTTGCTAGTTACATTATTATTCCTAGAAGAAAACAAAAGTATTCTCTGTCAAGTTTACTCACTAGCTTTTGAAGAGATAGAAAATTTGCTATTCAAATCGTTTAAATAGGGATACAGGTGGACCCATTGCAACAATGAGATGTACAAGTCGTTATGTGGAAAAACGAACTTTACAACTTGGGTGAGGGGGCGGGGAGGAGGATGGGAAGGGGAAACAAAGGAGGAGGCTACAATGCTTGATAAGAAATGTACTCATTATTTTGCCCATGTAATTGTAACCCCTCTTTATAGTATTTTCACAATTAAAAAAAAAAAAAGGAAAATTTGCTATTCAACCTAAGTTTAGTTGAACTAACTTCCTGGTATTCTGGTCATTTTTAACTATATATCCTTAAAAATAATTTTCTTGCCCCATATAGAGCAAGAAATTTCCATAGGGAAAGATTGCTTTCCCCATTAACTTTAGAGAATTGCTTTAATAATGTGTGCTGAATACATTAATGCAAATATTCTATCCATTAATGTTCGCTAGCCAATTACATTGCCTTTAAATCTTGATTGCAGCTCTAAAATTTTACTGTTTTGATTTTTATCCAGTTAATTTCCAACCTTTTTTTGGGGGGTGGGGGGGTCAGTCGTAGGGCTTGAACTCTGGGCCTGGGCGCTGTCCCTCAGCTCTTCAGCTCAAGGCAAGTACTCTACCACTTGAGCCACAGTGCCATTTAACTCATAGGTTACTTAAAATTCTTTGGCCAGTATCAGCACACCATATCTTTTCCTATCATTTGACTTTTAACTTCTTTGTGTCTTAGTATTAAATGTCCTAAAGCTATCACTGCTGGCACTGTTTCCACTTCAGTAGATAACTTTACAAATACATATTCAATTGTTAAAAATATTTCAACCTGATTTAGGGGGGAGCTGACATATGTTGTTGGTCTCTCAGCTTGAAAGTCTCTCCTCCCAGTGTTTATCTGCATGATCACTCTACCCCCTTCAGGCCACCATGCTAAGAACATGAAACCATCACAATGTCACTTGCACTGTTGAATTAACCCGCTAGTCAACCTGCTTTCCTTCTTCCCATCTCTCATCTACTCATATACCAACCTCATCTGCTGATTTTTCATGCACTTAAGTCTTGGGAGTCCTTTTCACCAAACAAGCTTACAATGAACCATATCAAAGTCTCTGGCAACCTCTTCCAACCTCATGTCCAGAGATCTTTCTGTACATGATCTATTCAAGCAGAGCATGTTCCTGCCTGAGAGATTTTGCACTTGCTGGTCTCTTTGTGGTCCCTCAGATAAGTTTACTCATGTCTGCTTAGCGATACTGAAGCATTACTTTTCTGAGCCCATTCATCTCTAAACCCTTTAAACCAACATCAGTTTTCCTTACAGCACCCTGATGTTCATTAGAAATACAATTCACTTCTCAACACTTAAGTCATATCTGTTACTTGTCTTTCCTTCATGTCGGTGCAACAAACAGGTGCCTACTTCAACACTGTTCTATCCCAGAAACAAACAGTACCAACATTTGTTTAGTACAAACATATTGAATAAATGTAATACTGTCAAATAATGCCAACAAAGTGGGGACGGAAGGGATGGTAGGGGAAAAACAAAGGAGGGGATAACAATGCTCGACAGTAAATGTACTCATTACTTTATGTAACTGTAACCCTCTGTACAGTATCTTTACTATATATAAAAATTAGATTTATCATCATATATAGTCATTTTATATGCCACTTGAAAGGAAAAATATTTATGTGATCTCTGGGTTAAAATTCTTAGTCTAAACTCTGTGGGTTATTGCATGAATAGAAATTCCATGAGGAGGCAGCTGAGTGATATTTCCTGCATCTTTCCTCATGTGCCTACCTTACTGAACAGCTTTTTTCACACCAAACCTCTAGCTAAAGAAATCAGAGATGATGGCACAGTAGATTTGTAATTAGTTATCAAGGTAAATCCGATAGAAGACATATTAGAGAATAGAATAAGCATGTAAAATCATATGTAATTATCACTGACAAATCTTTTGAAAGCTGTTTGATCCAGGAGTCAAATACCATTTGTTACAAACAATATTGTGTTTAATAGAGCAAACCTATTGACCACAGCAGAAGTTTTAGCACTTCTATTATTGTTTTGTAGCAAAATTACATGACCTTAAAGACATTTTTCAGCTGTCTTGTTATATATATATTCCAATCTCTAAATGGTAGAAAATGGCTACCTTAACCCAAGGAGAGCATTGAAACATGATTTCCCAAATAAGAGTAACAACATGATAGACACTAGTAACAATCACTGGCTGGTTCTTTAAGAAACTACCTTAAGAGTGTAAATAGTCACTGCATGTTTTCTGTGTAAAAGTCCTCTTATTATGCCAATCAGAAGGTGCTAAAATTGGTATGCCTGTGATGAAGACTGCAATGCAGACAGAATTCAAGAAGGCCAATTATGTCACATTTCTAGAACTAAGATTTATCTTTTGCAAACAGGGTAAATTGTGTGTTTCGTAGGAATGCTTGTATAAAACTGCAAATCACCATAGACTACTATTCAGTATTCTATGTGCAAGGTAAGTTAACCACAGGAAGAATTTATCATCTGATAGTGCTGAAGAATTACTGTCCCTATAAAAAATGTTAACTCTTCAATTTTTTAATACTGCTGTTATTAAGTTATTCACTGGGTAAATTTCACATATACATATGCTAACTTCATTCAATAATGGCGACAATGTAACTTAGATCTTGGTTTGTATATTAATTTTAGGTTTCAGGATTTGAACCAAAATATAAATACCACAACTGGATCAAATATATCTACATTTATATCCTTCAACACTATGATTCCTGTTGTCAAGAATGTCATGTTTCCCAATTCTACATTTTTTAACATTTAGAACAAAGGTTGATATAGAACAGAAGCAATATGTATATGAATTTACAAGGTGGTCCTTATAGCCAAATACTATCTGTAAAATGCAATGCTATACAATTTAGAGCTACATGCATACTTCTATCTTTTTACAAGTCTTCTGATAAGATTTTAGTGAACTCAATATGTGTAAAAAGTACAATTATAAGAATTGCTAAGTTAGAAAAATGATGAATTTCCTTTTCTAAGAATGCAAAGTACTACTAAATCTTCCAAAAGACGAGTCAAAAATAAAGAATGGTATAATTCTAGTAACAGTTTTAACAGCTGAGGTCTTAATCACAAGTTTTGAATGTTTAACTTTATACACTATGTGAACAAGCTATGTTTACTGGGAAGATTTAGATGAGAGGCAAAATCCCAGAAATATATCATGAAGTCTATAGAATGCTTCTTAGCCTTGTAGCCTAAGTCATGATTACTGGGAAATACAAAGAGAGAAATGAAAGCCTGTCAATCTACCTAAGCATTAGCCCCCTTTGATCTAATATTTCATTTATTCAACAAGTA